GAGAGAGAGAGAGAGAGAGAGAGAGAGAGAGAGAGTTTGCAGTGAATGTTCTGATGGTGCCATTAATACAGCAGTATCTGTTCACATTGTAAGTAGCAAAGTATCACACTGAAATCACAGCTTCTCCTCCAGCAGCAAACACTAATGAACTAGAATTTCTAAATTCAATCCCAGGCCGTTCCCCTTGAATAGGAGACACTGACAGTCTGCAGAGCACCCGAGTTGTAGTTGCTGAGCTCCCACCAGGCTGCATGAAGCTTGTGTACAAAATGCCACCCATCTATTAACATTCCTGGGGGAGTGGCACAGGGGACGGATACTGAAATGCAGGCCCCATAAAGGGACACTCCCGGGCTAGCCTGAATGGGATACATCTGGCCTCAGTCAAGTTCCCGGCGGACAGACGGCCACATCACAAAACCAGCCTCACAGCTGGCACCTTTACTGGCAATGCAGGCAGAGAGGCCATTGGCTGAATTGACCCTGGAGACTGAACTCTTCCTAGATCAGGGATGAGGCACATGGGTGGGGCAGAATGAGGAAGCTGGCACTGCTGCTGCCTGGGCTGGAGCAGTTCTGGGGAGAAAGACGGTGAGTCCATCTCCAGGATTGTCAGCACAGGACCTTCCCTAGCGCTAAACTCACTTGCAAAGGTACCTAAAAGAAGACATTAAACTCATAAAGCCGAGGGCTAAAGAATCCACCCTAACGGATCCCCTGGGAATTCAATGAGGTTACACCAGGGATGAATGTAGTACCCCCATGTGCTGGAGGAACTGGCACAGCACCTTGCACTGCAGAAGGTCCCATGACTTGCTGGTGGAGGGGTGGGGGAGTCCCAGCTGGCCTGAAAGGAGTCTGCCTAACCACGGGCCTCTTTAGCCTTTCATTGTACAGACAATTTTGTGATGCAGTGCAGTGGCACATGTCACAGGAGGAGCCTTGTCCTCTTCTGACATTTCCCTAATTAACCAGTTCCCTCTTCACAAGAGACACCAGGCCAGATTCATCCCTGGTGTGAATCCACTGAAAATGGCTGAAGGGTGGTTGTGGAGCATGTGACTTGACGCGCTGTTCCATGAATGTGCTCGCCTGACATTGGTTGTGTTATCTGTTAACAGTTTATAATAGTCAGCTCTCTCCTGGACCAGCCACCGCTCATGCTGTTTGACTATCGCTACCCTGAGTGGAGTATGTCAGTGGGGTACCTCATAGGAGCATCGTCCTTCATCTGTATCCCTTTCTACATGGTGTACAAGCTGGTCTGGACTCCTGGATCCCTTAAGCAGGTCAGGAAGAGCTGAGTGTCACGCGTCACAATCCTGTGTGGGCCAGATATTGTGGGCGCCAGCGTTTGGTGCAGCACATTTTGAAAGACTTGAAAGGGGTCAAGTCTTCAACAGGCCGGCAGGGTCTGGAAGCTCTGTAGAAAAGTTCTGCTCATCCCCTAGTGACTGTGTTCATGTGGCAATTAAATCATGACAGATGAACTAATTTTAAACTGGCCCAGGCTAGCACTGTTGGCCTGCCCAGCCTAGACCAGCAACAGTCATTTTAAAGCCTTTCTAGAGGCCTGGCTAGGGGACCATGGGGCCACGTCTGGAATATGGCTCTAATGGTTATCCCTGGTCTACAATGGCCAGAACTCCTCCCTGGCGTACCCCATTGACTTTAACTTGGCCCACTGGGTTTATATTGCATTAGCCTGAATCTTTCTAAAACCATGAGGACAAGCAGTTCCTCTCACAGGCTTCAATCCCACATCACACTGTAGTGACCAATCTGAGAGCAGCCCAGTCGGTTCCAAAGTCCCTCACTCCTCCTCAGCTCAGGGAAAGACCCCATCTCCCATCCAGAGGGCTCCTGCACCCCACGCACAATTACATCAGGGGCCGTCCTGCCCGAAGAAAGGCATGTCAGCATTAACCTGAGAGCACAATGCACCTGCTGAGCTGTCGTGCCATCGTTTCTGATTGGCTTAAACTGCACCAGGCACCATGGTGCCATCAACCACGTGAGAATCACAAGAATGTGCCCAGGCTTCTGGCATTTCAATGGCATGTGAGAGAGGCAGAAATTCTGCCCAGCCTTTGTCCCAATGTGGCACCAGTTACATTAGCCACCAGAGCCGTAGGTAACCCCTGGCTTTTTCTTTGCTTGTATCCTCTAGCGTCTAGCAGTGTGCATTCGACCAGAGAAAGCCATACGAGACCAGCAAGCGGATTCAGTATGTATGTCATCAGTGCCATAGTCCTACGGAGCACACAAAGGGACATTAGACTGCTGTTCGGCTTTACTGTTACTTACCAAACCAACTAAGAGACAGGGACGAGAAAAGCTGCCATCACTGTTTAAACTGCTCCCCTGCTTCTCTCCCTAAGAGTTGTACCCACTGGCCAAAGCTCGCCACAGGGTGTGGAGAACACACCTAAGCCACCGTCTGTGGGCCACGCCCTCCTGCCATAGCAGCTATACACAAACCGGCATTTCCGTAAAAGCCTGTACTGTCCAGGTCTTAATAATGGGCTCGATCCAATCCCCATTGAAGGCAATAAGAATCTTTCTGCAATGAGAGCTGGATTGGCCCTTAAATGTGTCTGAGGTATAAATAAAATTTTAGTTTGAGTGGAAGCCTGATTGTTATAGAATCACAGAGACGTAGGACAGGACAGGACCTCAAGAGGTCATCTAGTCACCCTCCCATGTAGTTTGGCAACAACATTTATGAAGTGGGATGTGCTCCCAACTCCCCTATGACTATACCAGTGTTAAGCCCCGAAGTTGCTTCTTCTTCCATACCTGCACCGCCTGCTTAAAGGTTAGTTACGCCATTGCAGATGTGCTTCAGCTTCAGCTGAGGGCACAACAGACCCAACAGAACCGCTGCCTTTGGAAGCACGACGATTCCCAGTACCCAGACTTCCGCCTCCTTGTCTCTGTTACAGTGCATTGGAGCATTCCACAAAGTGGAGCGGCTTGGATTGCCATGCCTGGATGTCCCTGTAGCCATGGGGAGAACCACTGGTTGGACCTCTATCCTGTGTCATATTTAAACCTAAATCCACTTCCCTCCCATCACTCTTCAGGATTTTCCCAGCTGGGTTTCTTGTTATCAAGGAGATCTGGTTTAGAGAAAGGGGTTGCCCCTCCTCCTCAGCAGCCCTTCCTCCTCCCTCCTGCAGTGGGGTTCGGCTGCTACTTCATTAACATTGCGCCATGACCTGGCTGCTAGATCAGACAGGTGCAGACAGTGGACTGCAGAGAAGGAACCTGTTCTTCATACACAGGTTTCCCACAGGCTGGGAAAGAACAGCCAGGTGGGGAGAGTAAATGGATGTGTGTGTACATAGTCTTTTCTTTTATTTTTTGCAATATTCGGAGCCAAATTCAACTGGCAAACAGCATGGTAAGTTCCATATTAGATATAACTTGTCCAGAAAGTAATGGTAAGGCATAGAGGAATGTAACTTGTATCAACGTGTAGCTAGGTGTGCAAAACTAGAGCAACTGACATGCTGAAGGAGCCCAGGAGTGTGGTGTATCATAGGAGAAACAACTCATAGGAAAGCATAAGACAAAGAGAGCGCTTGATGGTGATCACAGTTACCCTTTGTACATCCAGAGTAATTCCACTGACTTCAGTCATACTGCTCTAGTTTTACAGCAGGATAACTAAGATCACAATCTGGCTCAAAACGCTGCATGCCAAATCAGCACAAGTTACCCTCTCTTGCAACTGACATGCATTTGCTAGCACCCTGACACAGCATCCCCTGAATGTGGCAGACAGACTTCTGTGGGAGGTGCACCTGGGTCTGGTATCAAAGTTCCCTTTCAACGAGAAAACAAAGCACAAGTAGCAAGTATAACTCACAAAACAAGCTCCTCTCATTGTTCACTTGGTTGAAAGTCATGATGCCGAATTCAAAACCACTTGGGTTCCAGCTACACGTGGGATGAATTCCTTATTGCTACTTCTGATTCCGGGATGACACCCTAATCCTTTGGGCCTCACGAAGAAGGGACACATAGCTGTGAATACAATTCATGAATCGTTTAGAAATGCTTGCAGTCTCCTTGTTCAAACGTACTAAATGTGGAGTGCAAAAGCCGCATGACTGCTTATTTAACACGTGAGTGATGTGGAAAATAAATGTGACGTTGAGTGTTATGACATACACCTAGTTATGGATGTAGAATCTGAAGTTTTGTTTTCCTAAAAGCAAAATGCAGTCAGATGATCTTAGAATACCTCACTGGGGTTTTTTTGTAAGTGTATTAAAGAGTTGACTAGCTTCTACTGTGGATCTAGATTTGGACTCACTACTGGTCTGTGTGTGTTTCATTGGGGAAACTGTGTGTGTTAGAGGTAAATTGTGCCATCGCATATCTATAACTCTGCTTGCAGTTGCTGCTCTGCCTTAGCACTTAAACAGTATTCTACCAGGATGAAAGCCAGTTAGGAAAATTCTATTTAAACGTGAACCACAAAGCTTTAGTCAGCTAACTAAACGTGCCCGGCATAACAACACTTAACAGCTAGGTAGTATGCTTTTCTCCATAGCTCTCCAATCACTTTACAGAGTCTCAGAATCCCCATTTTACAGATGAGGTGCAGAGAGGGGAAGTGACTTGCCTAGACAGAGCCAGGAACAGATCCCAGATCTCCTCACTCCCAGTCTGGTGCCTTGCTGAGCCAAAGCTCAGCTAAGATAATTTCCTTTTTTACTAACCTTCCAAAACCTGAGTTCAGGATTCCATATTTTATCCTACAATGACTGACAACATCCTAGTAACCTAAAACAGCTCTCCCTACACTGCAGGAAGTGGCTGGGAGATCACCAACTACAGCAGAAGAGACAGCATCCCTGGGCTTAGTGTGGTATGTAAAGACAAGAATGCTCTTTAACTATTTTCTTTTAAAAAGTAAACGTAAGAAAACCTATCAAAACCTAGGACTTCTTGGTTATCACTATGTTGCCTTCTGGGACTCCCTGAAATTCCACAATGACAGTGGGGACAGAATTCAGATCCTCCTGCTCCAAAAGCTCAGGTCCCTACAACTTAAGCTAAAGGAGAATCTCCATTCGCTGTTAGCAGTATAGGATGTATGACACCCAGTTGAGCAGTTCTGAATCCCTCCAGTAAGACAGCAGTGGTACACATGCACACTACTCAGTTCATTAAATACATTGTACACATGTTCTGCATTAGTGATTTGGGAACGTAAACAGTTTTTTAAAATCTTTGCAGTTCATCTTTAATGTAATCTACCAACTTTTTCAGCTTTTACAGAAACTTTTTGTTAACATTAAATACTTTCCAACTCTTATTTTTATCATAACAGCTGAAGCACTATAATGGACTCTTACTTTTTGGCATATCTTCTGCATACAAAATTTTGTTATCCCTGACTTACTTTTCAATCTCCAAGGCTTGTTTGTAACCTACTTCCTTACCCTCTATTGAATTAAAAACATTCTGCCTTATTTTCATTTAACTCAAGAATGAATACATTTAACAAAGCTGAATAGTGTTAGAGCACATCGTTCTGCTCATGATATCTTAATTAAGTGCATGTAACCCAGCTGTCTCCTACACTTTGGTATTATTTTGATACCTTATATCTGGACATTATCTTAAAGATGAAAAACTTTCATAATGAAACATAAGAACGGACATACTGGGTCAGACCAATGGTCCATCTAGCACAGTATCCCATCTTCTGACAGTGGCCAATGTCAGGTCAGAACAGACAATTGTTGAGTGATCAAACCTTCCTATTAAAAATATAATTTATTTTATACAGCTGTGTTGCTGCAAACTTCATTCTGCAGCTTTCACCCTGACGACCTACCCCCATTTCTTACAGCTGATGTGAAATAATTTTTGTAATAAACGAGGGATTATAGTACAATGCATCTTTTAAAATGCAAATGATTCTGTTAGTGTAAGCATTATTCTTATATGCTTTGCAAACAGTGTTTTTTATAAGTTAACTTCCAGGCAAGTTTCCCTTAAAACAGACTTTGATCATCTTTGCTAATGCTTTTCTGAGTAAATTCAGGGAAAATGTGTGGAATGAGCCCAGATGTCTGTTACAAAACAGCCTCCCTGCATGAGTGGAGGGTATAGTTTGTTAATAAGATTGATTGTGGTAAGTATCTCTTCTGAAAGACAACAAACAGAACATGCCTGAGATCGATGCCAAGGACACGAGGATTCCCAAAGCAAAGCCCTCTGTTGGAAAGCACAGAAAGATCTCATTTCCAATGCACAAGGAATCATCAGAGAAAGTCCAGACCGGTAGCAGGTGGGGAGGGATGGTATCATGGAAAGATCCCTCATGCTATCATAAAGGGACTAGCTTTAGTTACTTTAAAACCAAGCTTTCTCCTAATCATGCTGATCCCTGGCAAAGGGGTGAGTAATCCAGACTGTTCCAGCAAGCCAAGCTCCAGTCTGATTTGAGGAGTTTATCCCTGTAGGAACACATCAGCTACACAGAGTGCACCTCCACACTAGAGAGGAGGGAACTGCAAAACATCCTGGGTAATATTTAGCCTGGTGGCCACATTTTGACCACCCCAGATTTAAAGGGACTTTTTAAAACTTGCCTGTAGGGAATCCTTTTTCTTTAATTTCTATGGCCCTTTGATTTGACACTAGAGATTAGATCAACAGGCAAAGTTTGGCTGAAGATCTAAATTTACCCTAAATTCAGAGATGTTTAGTTCAGCCCTGTCTCCAGCTGATGCTAGATGCCAACTAATGCATTAGCTAATGTATGTAAAGATGTAGGGCCAGAGTCTCACTACACTTATGGTGTAAATCTAGAGCAATTCCATTATGTCAATGGGAAAAATTCTGCCCTGACTCACTCCCCTACAACTCCAATAGTTTTAGGCAGAATTGGCCCAGTCTTTCCACTTAGTCTGGATTTACAGTAGTGCTAATGACCTCAGGATGGAATCAGAAAGCTCTATAAATAAGTGCTAAATTTTATCGTTTTATTTGCTACTTAGTAATTTATTTCCCTGCTTCCCACGCTGTTTGTATAATTACATATTTTCAGTGGATCAGGCAGTGTTTCAGGAAACCAGTATTTCAGCTAGAAAACACACACTGCAGCCCACATTTACCTATTTGTTCCCAGCACTCAGGGCCGGCGCTTCCATTTAGGCAACCTAGGCGGTCGCCTAGGGCACCAGGATTTGGGGAGGCGGCATTTTGCTGCCCTTGGTGGCAATTCGGCGGCAGGGGGTCCTTCCGCGCTGTGGGTCTTCGGCGGCAATTCTGTGGCGGGTCCTTCGCTCGCTCTGGGACCGCCGCCGAAGTGCCCCAAAGACCGGGAGCGCGGAAGGACCCCCCCACTAAGGCGCCAAAAACCCTGGCGCTGCTCGTGCCAGCACCCAGACACCGGCATGGTTGTGCAAGAGCTGCAAGTG